ACAAGTATGGGGAAATGGATAGTTGATCTATCAGCAAGTAGAGGCTAGGGGCCTGTATCTCTTACTAGTATGGGGAAATGGATAGTTGATCTATCAGCAAGTAGAGGCTAGGGGCCTGTATCTCTTACTAGTATGGGGAAATGGATAGTTGATCTATCAGCAAGTAGAGGCTAGGGGCCTGTATCCCTTACAAGTATGGGGAAATGGATAGTTGATCTATCAGCAAGTAGAGGCTAGGGGCCTGTATCTCTTACTAGTATGGGGAAATGGATAGTTGATCTATCAGCAAGTAGAGGCTAGGGGCCTGTATCTCTTACTAGTATGGGGAAATGGATAGTTGATCTATCAGCAAGTAGAGGCTAGGGGCCTGTATCCCTTACAAGTATGGGGAAATGGATAGTTGATCTATCAGCAAGTAGAGGCTAGGGGCCTGTATCTCTTACTAGTATGGGGAAATGGATAGTTGATCTATCAGCAAGTAGAGGCTAGGGGCCTGTATCTCTTACTAGTATGGGGAAATGGATAGTTGATCTATCAGCAAGTAGAGGCTAGGGGCCTGTATCCCTTACAAGTATGGGGAAATGGATAGTTGATCTATCAGCAAGTAGAGGCTAGGGGCCTGTATCCCTTACAAGTATGGGGAAATGGATAGTTGATCTATCAGCAAGTAGAGGCTAGGGGCCTGTATCTCTTACTAGTATGGGGAAATGGATAGTTGATCTATCAGCATGTAGAGGCTAGGGCCTGTATCTCTTACTAGTATGGGGAAATGGGTTGTTGATCTATCAGCAAGTAGAGGCTAGAGAAAATATCCCCGACCCCCCTCTCAACAACCGGTAAGTGTCAGGTATGAATGTCCCGATCCCAGCCTAGTTATCTATCTACATTCTCAGAAACTGTCATTTTTATCATAACATAGATCAAGGGTCGATCAAACATCGTTAATTGATAAAACAATTAATCAATCTGATAATTACCTGCACGTGACAGTAAATAGGTCACCATACGTCACACTTACAGGTGAGAAGGAATTGCCCGAGGGTGAGAAGTTGTGAAGGGATGTCCCAGGGGGGCCTTTTATTGTTTTGACCATCATAATTATAAATCGTTGACAGTTTATGACCAAGATGACCTATGACCTGAGATTTGTAACAAATTTCAACCCAGTAATTGACCATATGGTGTCCTTTGTTCTTCAATGATATCAGTAGTTTTAGTTCAAAAATATCTGGGGGTAGGGGATCTTTATTGCGCAGAGTCTGTAGAACACGGTGTCTCGGTTCTCCATCAGAACGACGAGACACTTTCTTCAATAAATTATAATACAATGTACGAGACACTTTCTTCAATAAATTATAATACAATGTACGAGACACTTTCTTCAATAAATTATAATACAGTGTACGAGACACTTTCTTCAATAAATTATAATACAGTGTACGAGACACTTTCTTCAATAAATTATAATACAATGTACGAGACACTTTCTTCAATAAATTATAATACAATGTACGAGACACTTTCTTCAATAAATTATAATACAGTGTACGAGACACTTTCTTCAATAAATTATAATACAATGTACGAGACACTTTCTTCAATAAATTATAATACAGTGTACGAGACACTTTCTTCAATAAATTATAATACAGTGTACGAGACACTTTCTTCAATAAATTATAATACAGTGTACGAGACACTTTCTTCAATAAATTATAATACAGTGTACGAGACACTTTCTTCAATAAATTATAATACAATGTACGAGACACTTTCTTCAATAAATTATAATACAGTGTACGAGACACTTTCTTCAATAAATTATAATACAGTGTACGAGACACTTTCTTCAATAAATTATAATACAATGTACGAGACACTTTCTTCAATAAATTATAATACAGTGTACGAGACACTTTCTTCAATAAATTATAATAC